CTCACTGATCTCATTCGGATGGGTCGAAGCTTCGACATAGGTGCTCTTGCAAGTGACTTCAACGCGCAGGTTGGAAAACCGAGCGCATCAGAAGCTTGCCTAGATGGTAGTCGTGCTCTGCCCAGCCAACGAACAGATAACGGCGATCGACTTCTTCAGTTCTGCGCAGACCATCTGTTCCCATCAAGCACCAACTTCCGACAGCTCTCGACGGACGGCAATGTGGCGCTCCAGTTCAACTGGTACGCTAACTCAAATCGACCATATAGCAGNTCAGTGCAAAATTGCAGGTCCTATTGAACCACCTGCGTTGAGTCTGACCACGCATCAGTTTTGATGCAGTTCACTCTTCGACTGACAGGCCGGCGACGGATTCAGCAAACTCGTACAGCTCATCATCGACTATCTGTTCCAGCAGTTCGTGTACGCTCTGAATCAGAGCTAGTGCTCGAGCTAAGCGCACCTCAACCTGGTGGTGTAGATGAGCAGCGGGATCAAATTATATGAGAAATGCATTCTGCAGCGAATGTTGCTTGTGGGTCTTTGCCTCAAGCCTAACGCAGGCATTAGATATCTGATGAATCAAAAACGACAAATCCCGACCTGCCAGGATCAAAATAGAGTTAGGTGGTGTCTACAACGCCAGCTCACGAAGAGCCTCAAGAAGGAAAGTGAGAACTGGTGGGCAGCAATAGCTAGTGAAATGGGAGTAGCGGCTGCATCAGGGAATAGTCAAAGACTGTTTCGACTGATACGCAATACGGGGAGTCGGCGAACTCCAGTTAGTGAAGCAGTCTGCGATAAGAGGGGACAAGCTATTCACAATAAGGATCAACACTCGGTCGCTGGGCAGAATACTTTAGCGAACAGTTCAACTGGCCCAGTGCTAACCAGGCTGCTTCATCTGCGACTCAAGCTCCGTGGGCAGTGTCATGCGACGTTCCAGCAGAAGCAGAAGTTTGGTCTTCATACAAGCTCTGGAGAGAGGAAAATCAGCAGGGCCTAATGAGCTCCCTCACACTCCTTTCAAGATGAGATATGTTAACCTCGTAACCCCTATTACTACTCTACTGCACAACATTTGGACTCATTCCTTCATCTTGAGGCGAATCACTAATCGTTACCATTTTCAAGAAAGGATCTCGCAACGATTGCGAAAACCGCCGCGGGATAAGTTTGATCCCGATCGTCACCAAAGTGCTAGCTTCGGTTATACTTCGACGTCTGACGCCTTCAATAGAGGCCAGTCGGTTTCCGGCCTGATCGTGAACGTATTGATCAGATTTTTACGTTGCGTCAGGTCCTTGAGCTGCGTCACACCCACCGTCGGCCAACGATTGCAGTATTCCTTGACCTGAAAGGAGCCTTCGACTCAGTTGACCGCGAAGCTCCGATGGGCTCCCTCCGAAAAGGAATGCCCTAGAAGTACGTTAACCTACTGAGGTCACTGTACTCACATACCTTCGTTTGTGTAAGGGTTTACAACGAACTAAGTAGGCCGTTCGTCACCAGCAGCGGCGTCCGTCAAGGATGCTCTCTTTCGCCGTTCCTGTTCAATTTGGTCGTAGACGAAACACTGAAGTACGTACCAAGTGTACTCCAAAGCGCAGGTATTGAATGAACAGCTGGAGAAAAGTTATGCGATTTGGAGTACGCCGATGACATCGGATGTATGGGGGACGCGCAAAGCGCACAAGTGCAGTAACCACCTTCGGTATGTGCTCTGCACCTTCAAGGTGCGGTGATGCTGCAGGACTGGGTTTCGTCTACTCCCGCTCTGAAACTAGATAGCCTGAATTTAGTTGTGGTGGATTATTTTTAGTTGCGTGACCCATGACGGTGGTGCAGTAAAGGAGATAAACACCGACATTTCCAAGGCTCCAACAGCATACGCAGGACTGAAACACCTTTGGCGTAGACGCGACGTTTCATTGTAATTCAAAGGTTGTGTATATTGTGCCACCGTTCATTCAGTGCTGCTTTATGGTTGTGAGATTTGCGAGTAGAAGACATCCGTCGACCGGAAGTTTTCGATTAGCGGTGTTTACGCAGTTTAGCCCACGTTGGATGGACCGAACGGGTTTTGTAATGTGGAGGTAAGCCGTCGTGTGTTTGGGAGTCTATTAGGTATAAACTCGCTAGCACACCGAATTCAAATTATTAGGCTTCACTGGCGAGGGTACGTATTGCGTATGCCCAACTGTCGTCTGCCGCCCCGCGCCTTATTCGCTGTTGCTAATCCGGGTTGGGGAAAACCACGTGGAGGTCAACAGGTGACGTGGAGACGAGGCATAAAGAAATGCACAGCCATTGGGTAGAGTGAGTGTCTCTCGCCTTCTAGGTTGGGGTCCGAAAGACTACAACTGGTTGGTTGGAGACATTGAAGGATATGACAGCGAACCGGTAGCAGTGGCGTTCTTGTTGTCATTTCTTATCAGGTCAGAATGCTTGATGCGGTATGTACGCATAATTCGACTGCATACTTTGTGTGTTGACCATAGAAGTTCACCTTCCCCTTCCTTAAAATAGGTCCAATCCCTGTCCACCTTAAATTTTACCCCTAACCTTGTACGCACTGCGAGTTTGGCAGCGATCAGTGAAGTTCGCTTCACTGTATTTCGCTGTACGATGACGATGCCCGCATATTACATTGTTTGACCTAAGTTTTTTTTATCACAGTATGATGAACAGCAGACACGGAAAGCCCCATAGTTGCTAGAACCTGCTGTTCAGTTATGGAAATCGGTAACAAAAGCCCCGGGATTTGGAGTGGCGAACGATGATTAGTCCGCTAGGTTAGATGTATTGGACCGGACGGCAGCAAACCTGGCTACCACCGAAGTTCGGT